GGGGCCAGCAAAACCCAGTGGAGACCCGGACACCTCCGAAACCAGCCTTTCCCAGGGAACTGACCAGGACTCAAAACTCACGGGCCACTCTCGAAGCGGCAGTAACCAGCTATGGCGTCTAGAACAGTGGAGGCCAGCCAGGTGGTGCCCCTGTGCCACTGGAGAGAAGCCACCTTCTGTCCTGAGCTCCAAGCAGCCACAGTGCAGATCCAGTCGAGGCCCAAGGGGAAAGCTTTTCTTCCTGTTCTATGTTCTTTAAACCAAGCAGGTGGATCGAGTGGTCTAAGGAAGCCTTACAGCCTCGTGATTGTTGAGTGGCCACGCACTGCCCTGGGTGCCCAGGATGCCCCTTGACCGTTTTTCTTGAAGTGGTATCTTCATCGTCCTGACCGAGATGCCAAGTGGGGAAGGTCTGAGAAAGTAGAGTTGAGCTGGCCGGCATTTTAGAAAGGGTCCAGGGCTGGGTGCCACTGCACAAGGCACCACTGCACAAGGCAGCCGTCTCCCTGGCCCCCTGGCCGGTGCCACCCCCAGTACACAGCACCTGGAGCAAGGCTTTGGGACAGTAGACACACTCAAGATTCACAGACAGGGTGGTCCCCAGAAGGCCACCCAAAAACCAGGTTACTGAGGAAGAAGAAGGGCCAGGGTTCTGTGTCTTCCCTGGAACCCAGTTCCTGATGTGTTTTCAACAAACCCACCTGCAGGGACCCTATCATCGCTTGCTGCCCCTTGACAGCTGGGGACTGCACATGAGACACCATCACCACCACCAGATGCCCAAGGATCCTGGTCCTCACAGCCTTGGTCCTAAGGAGACACAGACAGGAGTGACCCCGGCCCACGGCACGCTCTGCACCCACCCCCAGGAGGCCTGCTCCAGCTCTGGGCCTCTCCCTCCAACAGCAGTGACTCCACACCTTGTCTGCAAAGGCCCCTGTGAGAAGGAACAGCTCCCGGCACCCGCCCCCAACACCATCTTTACGCCCATGATTACTCCCCCCTTCCAGCCTGCAGAGGCGAAAAGCTGTGAGCTCCAGGGCCAACGGAGGCAGAGAAAGGAGTCTGCAGCTCCCTCTGCCCCAGGAGGAAACCTCCCTCACCTTCCTGAGCCAAACTCCTGTCAGCCTGGGTCTCCATTTTCCCTTTCTCCACTCTGAGTAAACACAGCTCTGCTCTGAGGAGCAGCACAGAGTTAACCAGGGACCAAATGACACCAAAACCACTGTCAGTCTCAGTGCGGCCAAACCCATCATGCCTGGCTCTGTAGTCTTGGATACAGTGGGCTCACGGGTGTGTCCCAGCCAGTCTTGTTTGGGGCCAAGGACCAGAAGCTCAGAGGAGTTTGAGACAGGGAGGTCCCCCTGCAGCCCGGGACATGAAGCACCCACACCCACGCCACAGGGGCACGGGAACCTGCAGCCTCCTCAGCTGTGTCCTCATCACCACGCAGAGCTTCAGCAGCTGTCCGGGAGGTTTACCCATCACGGTTTTCTACGGCTTCCTATGCCTATGCATAGGGATTTTGATTAAAATATTCAAAACTTAAATAAAATAGTACCAAGTTATAAATTGGATTCTAGAACAAGTGACATGCGTGTTTCAGAAGTTCAGCACTTAGCAACCAAAGGGACACTCTGCCTGACAATGCAGTTCCATTATCATCCAGATAGAAAATTTGTTTTTAAATACATTTTATGGAGAAAAAAGGCTAAAATGACCATGCATGTGAGTCAGTGAAACTGCCTTTCCTGCCCCGAGGCCTGACAGTGTTCAGAGGGCTGCAGGTCTCCACCAGAACCTCCTCTGCTAAGACAGGAAGTCACAGAGCTTTGACAATCCCAGTCTCCCCCGCAGTGCCCCCAGAGATTTCCCACTGACCGAAACTTCCTCCTGGACCCCAGAGAGGAAGGATTTTAAGGTCCCATCTACGCCCCAACACAAGTACACCTTTCATGCCAGCCCTATCAGCTGCATTCCTCACTCAGTGGCAGCTGATTAAAGAAAAATGTTCAGCTCAGTACCTGGCGCCCCCACCACGCCCCGCTGTTCAAACAGCGGGCAGCTGATGAGGCTTCAGAATCCAAAGCTCACTGGGTTCCTTCACTCTCTCAACACTTGTCAGGAGAGCGCCTCAAGAAGACTGCTGCTGTCACAAGGCCACCCAGCATCACCCTGCAACCAGCCCTCCATTCCTGAGCCCAGGAACCCGGGCGGTACTGGGTTGCGAGTTCGAGAACTGCTCAAGGTAAAGACAGCTTCACAAAGACTTTAAAGAGGCCACAGGAGATGACCCAAAGGGCTTAAACATCTACAGTATTCCTTAAAAGCTGCAGAAGATTGCACTGTTTTTACTGGGGAGGGGGAGTTCTTCTTCAAGAGTTACACAGGTCAATGACCCTGTCCCCTTCAGATCAATAAATTCTCTTTAATTTTTAAAGTCTAAGCAGGTGTAAATTTGGGCATGTTCGTGCAAGGTCTAAATCTGGTTTCCCTGAACAGGCAAAAGCACAACTTTAAATGTCTTTCAGCTGTTCACTAACACAGTGAAAATCACAAGGCTATAAAACTAACAACAACCCACGAAACATGAGGTAGTTTAAACATTTTCAAACACGGATGGTTTAAGTTACTGGGCTTTAAGGATGACAAGTCTACAAAGGCAGGAACCCACTTTTAAGTACATTATCTAAGTTTCATTCTGGACTAAAACTTGATCTAAGCAAACTGGCTACATTATTACTCAACAGAAAGGAAGTTTTTCAGAGCACAGTGTAACCATATAAATACAATGTCCCACTTAAAAGATTTTCACCTTTTCAACTTCAAAACACAACTTCAGATTGGAAAATATGTGCAGATAGAGCCAGGCTTTTGGAAACAGTTAAGTGTTCAAGCAGAGTTAGGTTACTGGCCTGCAAACACATAATTAGCTACAGAAGCAGATCATTCCTGTGGCGAAAGCATCCAGCTGCAAAGCAGACTGTAGTATCCCGGTTACTTGTCCTATACTCCCCAAATCAGATTTTACTTTGCAATCAGTCAGATTTTATTTTGCAATATCAAAAGATAAGTAGAAACAACTCCAGGACCTCTGCAACACTATCTTTCAGATCAAATGTCGAAAGATAATCAAACATTAAGCCATGGTTGTTTCAGTAGTTTGTGGTAGTGGTGGTGCTACCGGGAATGAACCCAGAGCCCTTCCTCCGAGCTACATCCCCAGCCTTTTTCTTATTTTTTATTTTGAGACAGGATCGCCCTAAGTTACTAAATTGCCCAGGCTGGGCTCAAACTTGTGATCTTCCTGTCTCAGCCTCCCCAGAGGGCCAGGACTTTAGGCATTTGTCATCATGTCAGCTGAGCTTTTATAAAACAAACTGCTGTTTTCTCGAAAATATCATCTGTGTGGGGCTCAGCATACAGCTCACCACCACCACCATAAGAGAAAATAAACCATCAGCTATAATCTGCGTCAGGCCCATGTGATGCCATTCAGCCACAAGGCCCAGGCGTCTACTTAAAGATCAAAGATTAAAATAAAGTTAAATAAACTTTCCCAAGTTCAGCTCCTTGTTCCTATCAGCTACATTTCCGTCACAGTGGTCACCCTGTGACTGGTGACCACCACTCTAGATGGCACTCACACTTGGAGGTTCTCACTTGGTGGGACACCCAGTCCCCTGCCCCTTGGCTTTTTAAAAAAACTATTATCTGAAAAGAATGGTGAATGCTTTTAGGGTTAGGCAAACTCAAAAAGAATCTATGAGTATAACACTGCACAATGAGCGTAATGAACAAAAGATGCCTAATCTGATTTTCAGACGGCAGCTTGGCCGCTTTTGAGAACAGCATTTGAGAGTCGCTGCTACCCGCCCTGCCCTCAAGGGCGAACCCCAAGAACAAGGGGTCTTATGCACTGCTTCATCAATCAATCCTTCTCCCCACCAAGCTGAGGAGCCACCTGGACCCAGCCTGCTGACCCAGCATCTGTGGGGGGTGATCCTCGCCTCCTACAGGCCTCAGCCCCTTCTCTATTTTTTTAGCCTACTGAAATGCACCTCCCACCCTGGTTTGGGGTCCAAATGTCGCTTAACGTCCTACTCAGAAGAAAACCGCTTGACTGCACGGTTGTGGTGAGGAGACATAAACGCCAGGTCTGCAGTTTTAATACGCGCGGCCTGCGAGCGGGCTTCTCTTCGGGTTGCCTTTGGCACATCAGGAAACGGGTTAGAAGGGCGCATCTTCAGTCAAGCATATTTCACAATAAAATCGCCCATCAGCCAGGCGCGGGGCGCACACTTACAATTCCAACACTTTAGGGAAGCTGGGACAGGAGGATGCAGTTTGAGCCCCGAAAGGGAATTCAGTGAGGCTCTGAGAACTAAGGCAGGTGGGGCAGAGCTCTCCGGAGTTCAACCCTGGCCAACACAAGCGCCCCAGAACCACCGGGTGTATTCCGGAGACGACCGGGTTTCCACCCAAAGCAGGACGCTTTTCCAGATAAACTTTGGAATTCTCTAAAGAACAAAACACAGCAAGACCTCGCGCGTTCCGTAATGAAAACCCACCTAGTCCTGCTAAAGGAAGCGCGCGGTTCGGCGGTGAAGTTCGGTCGTTAGGCACAGAGGCCGTGGAGCAAAGCCCTAGCCCCGCGGGGCCGGACCGGTCCGCGCTGCACAGGTGCGACCCGGTCCCCGATTCCGGACCGATCCCCGATCCCGACCCAACCCGACCCGGACCTGGTCCCTCGGGGAGAAGCCGCTCCCGGCGGGGAACTCGCGGCGCCCCGACACCAATGTAGACGCGGACCTCACCGCCCCGGACACCTCGCAGGACACAAGCACCAGCTCCGGGCTGCCCACGCCGCGCTCGCCGGCCCGGAACTCACCGAGGGGTCCGCTGGGGGGCGCAGACCCTGGGGGGGGGCCACGACGGGGGGAGGGGCGCGGGCCCGGGCCACGCGGGCGAGCCACGCGAACCGAGGGAGCCCCGCTTACCGGCATCATGCTGGGCAGGGACCGCATGGAGCCGCGGGCCCGGAGTCCGGGACCGCGGACCCGATCGGGGACCTGTTGCGGCCGCGCTGCTTTGTCTCCGCGGCCCGGCTGCACAGCCCGGGGGAGGAGAGGGGAGGGCGGGGCCGCGCCTGCGCGTGCGCGGAGGCCGCGGGGGGGCGGGGCCAGTGCAGCGCGTCCCCGCGGGACTCCCGGGTGGGGGACAGAGCGAGGTGCTGGGCCCGCGACCCTGACCGCGGCCCGGCTCTTGCACTGCATCCGGCTCAGGGCTGGATAGGTCCTGGTAATTAGTGTAAGAGTGCGCCTGGGAAGTGGCCGAGACCCGCCCGTGTAGACGTAGCAGCGTCCCCAGGAGGCCGTGCAGGCCCGGGCGGAGTCCGCACCCGGCCCTGTGCCCTGCCTGCCTGCCCGCCCCTTGCTCTGGAGAGAGACCCGGCCTCGCCCTCCTCTTGGCTCTCCTGGGGCACAGCGCCTATTGCTTTCCCATCCAGACCCGCGGGGTCGTGCGTCCTTCTTGCCCTGAGCCCCGTCTGCTCTTGGCTGGGCCACTGCCTCTCAAACACCAGATGCACAAGGGTTACCCTCGCTCAGATGTGGTCCGAAGCTCGCCCTGCAAGCTGGACTTGGTGACCCATGCCTGTAATCCCACAGTTTAGGAGGCTGAGACAGGAGAATGCAAGTGCCAGCCACCCTCGCCAATCTGGTAACACCCTGTTTCAAAATACAAGTTTAAACTGGGCCTAGTGGCCCATGTGTAATTCTAAGGCACTGGCAGGCTGAAGCAGGAGGATCACGCGTTCAAACACAACCTGGGCAAATTTAGAAACTTAGTGAAACCTGTCTCAAAAAAAAAAAAAAAATAGAGCTGGAGATAGAGGTCATTTCCAAGGCACTGCGTTCACTCTGCAAAGATCAATAAATATTTTTAAAAGCTGGGAGTGTGATTCAAAGAGAGAGCATTTCCCCAACACACACAAGGCCCTGGCCTATGCCCAGCACCACACACGTGTGCACACACACGCACGTACACACTCATGCAGCCTACTGAGATCCTTCCTCTGCTCCCTCCGTCCCTCTGTCTCCGCTGTCCCCAGAGTGTGCAGGGGACATGCCTCCCTGAGACTCCTCTGTCCAACTCCCCATGCTTGGTTGGCTCTGCCCCCTCTGGCCCACGTGCCAACGTTGGTTGATGTCTGTCTTCCCAAGAGGCCAGGAGTTTTGCTCAGCCTCTGGTGCTGATTCCTCCAGCCTGGAACACAGCTCAGCAGAACGAATGAAGGGTGAGTGTGGGTTAATGTGTGAGCTGTGCGTCTGGCTGGCTGGGTGGCTCGAGGCAGTGTTTCATGTGTTTGCCAATCCCAGTGCTGACAGGACCTTCTGGTTGGACAAGGAAGGCCGAGTGTGGGAGCCCAGCCCCACGGTGCCAGTGTCTCCTCTGCTGCTGGGCCCGTGTCAGGGCCCATGGAGAATGGTGCCAAGAGGGAAGGGAGGTCTGACCCACAGCACTGGGCTGCAAGGCTGCTGGCCTCAGGGTCCAACCGGAGGGAGCAGGAATTTCTTCCTGGTCTCCGCCCAGGCAGGGAGAACTTTGTCCCAGTTGGTTTTGAACTTGGGCTTTTTCAAAGGTTTCAGTGCTCCTACATAGCTGAGATCTTGAGTGTCCCCCAGAGCCCATGGGCTGGTGGCCAGTAGGGTCATGGGGGTCCTTGGAAAGGTGAGGGGACCCAGGCCTCCTCTCTGCCTCGGGGTGAGGCAAGCAGCTTGCTCCACCATCCACTCTGCTCCGGTGCCTCTGTCTCATCACAGGCATGGGGCCGCTCCCAGAGGGATCCCCAAAGCTGTGACCCCAAATAAACCTTTGCTTCTTTGAGGTTAAGGCATTTGCCACAGTGAGTGCCAGCTAACCCAGACAGCTCCACAAATGTCTGCTTTTACGCTAGAGGGAAAAGTGCCTTGGGGGAGGCCCAGCGCTCGCTCGCTCGGTGCTCTGATCTTCCCTGCACCTCGCTCACTACGAATGTTTCCCTGTCCACGAGGGATCACACACGTAATCATGCTGCTATAAATGGTTTTCTCCAAATAGCTAAGGAAAATCAGCTCGACAAGTAAAAACTAATCAGACATGTTTTGGTATGGTCATTTAGACCGCCTTTTCATGGAGTCAGGACTCACTAGGAATAAATTTGCTGACCAATGCCCACTCCACCCCACCCAGACCTGTAAGGTAGCCGAAGAGGGACATTTCTGATCATTCTGGTGGAGCTCAGATGCCATGGCTCTGCAGAGCTGGCTGACCCAGTGATGAATACCTGAGGCCAGCAGCAGGCAGGAGGCCCCGCCCCCCCTTGGGCTTCCCAAAGCAAAATGGACTTAGAGCACCGGCAGGACTAGGAAGTGGCAGTGGTGTCTGTCTAGAAGGAATTTTCACTTCAGACTGGTAAGACCCTGAAGTATAACCATGGAGTCTTTCTTAGAGTAATTTGTTTTCTGCAAGTGTTTTTAAACTGGTTTGGGGAGTATAAATCTATCCTCCAACACACTTCACATTTATATCCAGTAGAAAGAAGGGTGGACATTGAAGGAACCATTAATTACAGCGTGTGGTTATATTGCTACAAATGGCCATCTCAGATTCCTGTCTAAGTGGCTTTTATTTACCAGAGTTGTTGGGTCCACACCTAACCTTCAGTTTAACTCCACCAGTGCCCTGAATGTCTGCAGGGATCTGGGCACCCTCAGGCTCCTCCTGTGACGTGAGGAACCCTCCAGGACTGAGCACTTCGGGTCCTGATTACCAACACAGAGGGGCAGGTTCCCCATGGGCTTTACACACCCACACCTTCAACCTGGCTTATGCCCTCCTGGCCCTCGCAGCCCTGGGGAACCCGCTCCTCCGTGGGGTCTCCCTTGCTAGTTTCCATGAGAGAACAGAAGTCAAAGAGGGACATTTCTGACCATTCTGGTGGAGCTCAGACGCCACGGCTCTCATTTGTATGTCTGTGTCCACCTTATTTTCTCCACACATCTTCCAGTTCAGCTCATTTTCCTGAGAATGACAGGACTCCAGCCTCATGGTGGCTGTGCTGCACCTGGCCGGCTCTTGCCTGGGCTGGTGTGGCCTCTGCGGGGTGCCTATGCTGGCCCCTCTGGGCATGTGCCCAGGAATGGAACGGTGGGTCAGAAGGCGAACAGGTTGCAGGGAACTCTGTGATGCCCAGTCCCATCAACCATGCATGAGAGTTCAGATTAGTTTTGTTTTGCAAGTTTTTGTTTAGTTCTTTATTTTGAATATTAACCCTCTGCCAGATGAAGAGTTAGCAAAGATTTGTTCCTGTCCTGCCAGCTGGCCTGTACTCTCCAGATGGTCTGCTTTGCTGTGCAGAGGCTTTTTAATTTGCCATAGTTCCATTTGTCAAGTCTTGCCTTCTTTTCTGAGCTATCGGAGTCCTACACAGAAAATCCCACTGCCTGTATCAATGCTGTGTTTTCTTCTGGTGCTTTTTTGTTTGTTTTCTGATAAGGTCTTACTACATAGCTCAAGCTGGACTTGTACTCACTGTATATCCCAGCCTGGCCTCAAACTCACTATGATCCTCCTGCCCCAGCCTCCTGTATGCTGGGATTATAGGCAGGTGCCACCCTACCTGGCTTTCCTCTAGCATTTTCAGAGGTTCTAATCTTACGTTAAAGTCTTTGATCCATTTGGAGTTGATCTGAAGGCACTTTCTAAAAAATTTCCCTGTGTAGAAAATCATTTCATCATCATAATTATGAGACAGTGCTTTGTTTTAGCAGTTTTACAAGTGAGGTGCTAGAGGTACCGAGGCCTGCGGGAAATGGGGTGCTGGCTTTCTGCAGCCTGTGTTCTCCTGTCCCATGGTGTTCCCCCTCCCCACCACCAGCCTCAGAAACCAGTGTGGGCCTGGAGCCACCGTGGGGGACAGAGATGGATAAGGGTCAAGGCGCAGTCAGGAGGGTGGTCTGGCTGTCAGTAAAGCGTAAAACCAACTCCGCACTTGGGCGGATCCCTTACCCCAGGGGAGCAGCCAAGTCTCACCGAGCCCGTGTCACAGGGGGACCTCTTACCACATCAACACCAAGTTTACACTAAGCACAGGCTGTGGAGCATGGTCCCAGCCACAGAGGCAGGAGGAGCTCTGGACCCCGAGAGGCCAGCCTGGGCCACAAGGTGAGACCTCATCTCAAAAATAAATACATAGATAAACAAACAGATAAATCATTTTATTGAGTGTCTACTGTGAGCACAGAATATGAAATGTGCATATTAGTATCCTCTGTGCCCTAGAGCAGCTCATGTACTCCAAAGGGGAAAACATGGGTAGAAATAGTAAGATCCACCCTGTGCCATGCAAACCACCGCACTGCGCTTCCTACAGACAGGTCCTGGTGAATGTGAGCGCTCACACAAGGATCTCCATGTTACACGCAGAGAGCGGAGCCTGAGGGGAGCATTTTTTTTTTTTTTTTTGGTCTTTTTCCTTTTTATCGGTACCAGGGATCGAACTCATGACCACCTGCTTGCAAGGCAGGTACTTATGCCGCTGAGCTAAATCCCCAGCCCCGAGGAGAGCATTTTCTAGGAGTTGCTTTGCACCTGCTGCCAGGAGTCCAAACCCCAGGGAGCCAAAGGAGAAAAACTCAAGTAGTCTTGCCCCTTTTTTACTCACATTGGGGCAACAGGTGATGAACAAGCAAAGCAGGCACAGGCAGAGAAGACCCCAAGCCGGTGTAGGCGAGATGGGCAGGGAGTTCTGTCTGTACAGTGGCTCCAGAGCTGAGGCCTGAGGGACAAGAAGAATCCCCGTGTCCTGGAGAGAGGACTGGGCTGTCCCTCGGCCTGGCTCAGGCGAAGAGCAGTGGGCAGGGAGGACGGCAGGGTCCACAGCGTGGGGCTGGAGCGCCCTGCCGCATCCTAGGACTGGCGAACAGTGGCGATGGCCCCATGGATGCCTGCACAGGAGCTGGCAAGGTCTGCGTGTCACCACCACCAGCAGCAGCCTTAGAGAAGACAGGAGCAGTGATGTCAGACCCAGAGAGTGCTGCAGGAAGGAGCAAAGGCTTCCACAAGGCAGGGACTGCTCAGACTGACCACACCCCTGCAGGGCTAGGGCTGGAGCTGGAGCCACTGAACTCCTGTCCTGAATTCCTGCTGCTCCTCCATGTGCTGGAGGGGACTGATCCAGGGAAGGGCCCGGCCTCTGGAGGCCCCCAAGGCAGCTTCCCAGCGGCAACTGCCAAGGGCCAGGGCTGTGCACAAGGCCCAGAGCACAGCAGACTGAGAAAAAGACTGCCGTGCATGGAGGGGCACCTGCCCAGGTGCTGCAGCTCAGGGGTGATATCAGGCACATGGCAAGTGACCCTGTTATGGGTGGGCAGCCCAGAGGCAGGCAAGCTGTCACACATCAGGACCAAAATGCCTTGGCAGAACCCAAGCCAGGCGAGTGGTCCAGTGCCCAGCAGGTCAGACGAGGCCTCTTGGGCCATGGCAGCCTGGACCTTGCTGGGCAGCATGGCCCGGGACACCTTCTCTGAGGGCTCGATCTATGCCCGTGGGCAGGCACAGCTTTGCTCCAGCTTGGCTGGGGAAGGAAATCTCCTCGTGACCCACCGGTGAAGTAAAGAAACTACTTGTCTAGGATGTGGTGTTACTTTGGATCTGAAAGTCCCCTGAGTAAGACTTGGGGGTCCAGAGTGGTGGCAGAACCTTTAAAAGGTGTGGCCTTGTGAGGATGGGGCCCCCTCCCCTCACCCTACTCCAGACCACAGCCTGGCACAGCAGAATAAACCTTCCCCAGAGTGTAAGTTGGTCTTCTCCAGTATTTGTGGCAATGCTGAAAAATGGGCCATAGCTTGGACTCATGGCTGGCACCTGTGATGACAGGTGGGTGCCCCAGGACTCCCCAGCTCCGGGATCAGGAGGGGCAGCTTCTTGCAGTTAGAGGCCCCTGCGAACACAGGTCACGGGGCTACCTTTTAATTTTAAGTTCCACACTAGAGTCTGGAATTAATTACAGAACATACAAGAGCTCACCAGATCCTCACAAAAACCCCATAAAATTACTCTTTCCAGTTTACATGGAAAGAAGTTCACACACTGTGTGCAAAGTCACATGATATTAGTAGTAACAGGTCACTGTGATTTACTTCATTTTATTTTCTTTTTTTGTGGTAGTGGGTGTTGAACTCATCAAAAAGATACAACAAAAAAATCATAGAAAATGCTTGTAAAAAACAGATATTCCTCATTTAACGATCCCACAGCCACCTGCCTCCAGCCCTTCCTTAGTAAGTGAGAGTCTCAGGACAGTCCCAGTCCCCAGCAGGCACAGTGTCTTTGCATTCCTTCTCTTGGGGTTCTGGGAATGGAACCCAGAACCTCGCTTTACCACTAAGCTGTACCTCTGGATGGGCTCTGTCTCTTTTGTGTCTTTTTGTATCGTATATACAGCACAACACAGACGTATCTCTAGCGCAGTATAAATGAAGGACTCTGAGGACTCCATGCTGGAAAGACAAGCAGAAGGTAACAGGAGGGGACGCAGCGCCCCCTGGCCAGCGGGACCACAGCTCTGCCCAGACTGGGCAGGCTTCTCTGTCCTGAGCAATGTGAGGTTCAGCAGGGCTGCTCTCACTGGAGCTCAGAGCAGGTCCCCTCGGGACGTGGCGGGGTGGCAGGATTTAGGGGTGGCCCCACACCTCCTCCCGCTCTAGGTGACTGCGTCACCCAGCAGTGGGGAGCCCTGTGAAGCAGGGTCAAGACTATAGAGGCAGGAGGGAGGGGCTAGAGGGAGGCCCTCACTTTAGGGATGGAGGGCAGGAGAATCTGAGGGTGGGCCTGGTCAGCAGCCACTCAGACAGGGCTTGGGTCCATAGCTACACGGGCCAGAGGGTGGCCGGCACCCACATGAGCTTGGAAGTGAATTCCCAGCATCTCCTGATAAGCACCCACCATGGTTTGTGTCTGGATATCCCCCCAGAGCCTCACACAGCCACAGGGTGGGGGGGTGGGCTTTTCAAAAGTGGCTGAAGCTGGAGTTTGTGACTGATTCCTGGTCCAATGCTGGGATTAAGGGGGTGAGTGTACCCTGGACCTAGGGAGGGTAATCTGCACACCACATAAGGGACATAAAGAGGCCTCTCTCTCTTCTCCAGTTGCTGTGCCGCCTTCCACTGCTGTGAGCTGTTTCTCCTCTGCCACACTGCCCAGCCTAGGAGCCAGTCAACTATGAACTGAAACCTGTACACACTGTGAGCTAAATAAACTCCTCCTCCTTTAACTTTGGTATTGGGCATTTTGTCCTTGCAGTGGGAAAAAAGGTAACTAAGATAGTGCCCGTTCCAGCCGAACCACAGTCTCTGCCTCATGAAAGCCCGCAGGGAGGCCCAACTCGGCACTGTGGAGGCTGAGTGGCTGCACTCTGAGCTTCCAAGTCAGTCCCTCTGCATTGCTACACCAGAACCCTGGAGGCTGAGGGATTCTGACCTATGTTCTGGAGCCTGGGACGCACAGGTCTGGGCCCGGCAGTGCCGAGGCTGGCAGAGCCATACTCTGTCCCAGGTGGTGCCCTGCAGGCTGTATTCCAGAGGGCAGCCACCCCACAGCCCTTTAAAGAGGCCCCCCGTGTAGAGGCCCCTCTCTGGGCCTCTGAGGAGGGAATGTGCATTCAGACCTAAGCACCACTGTGCTCGTCCACTTCTGACGCAGCAACAGAAAGCTGACTCAGATGAGGGCTGACAAGGGAGCTGACCTCCAGGAAGGGCTGGATGTCACAGTGCAGGGCTGAACGGGTCCTCTCTGCAGCCAGCTGTAGGGGAGTCCTCACCCTCCCGCTGAGCCAAATCTGCAGCTCTGCTCACTGTTTGTTTTGTGACGAGGTCTTGCTAGGTCACTAAGTTTCCTGGACTGGGCTCAGGTTTTTGATTCTCCTGCCTCAGCCTCCCAGAGTGGGAGGCTAGGATTGTAGGTGAACATTGTTATCACACCCAACAGAAAGGTGTGCTCTATAGGCACGCACACACACACACACACACACACACACACACACACATGCCCCACAGCATAGCCCTAGAGATACATATGCACATGTGTCAGGCATGTACTCTTAGCATTCAGGAGGCAGAGGCAGAAGGACAACATGAATTTAAGGCCAACCTGGACAACACAGTGAAAGTCCCCAACCCTGGAAAAGACTCACAGCACAAGCTGTGGGTGAGGGCCCCTGCTGTCCTCTGTAGCCCAGCTACCCCCACTCCCATGTAGGAGAGGCTCAGCTCACAGGTGGCTGAAGGTATGTCACCTGTGACTCACCCTCCCTTATTGTGGCTGCTGGAAAGGGACCTGTCGGCTTCCTGACGCAGGTGTCACACTTGGTCAGTTGGAAAGTTTGGGAGAAGCTCAAGCCTGCCCAGGCCTTGGCTTTGATGTGCACAATAGGAGAGCCAGTAACTCAACCCAAATTCTGGAAAGTCCAGCTATGTCATCGGCCAGGTCAGCAGAAAATGGCCTTGACAGTGGCCCTGGCATCAACTGGTGACAAGGAAGCCATCGAAAGAAATGCATTTCAGCTTCCGGTAAATATGGCAGATAGATAAGAGCAGAATACAGAGGCTCCCTGAGACAGACAACTCAGATGCTGAAATAACACAGCATGGGGAGTCCCAGACAGAGGGAGATGGATCCTCTCAACACAGGATGAAACTAAAGTGAAAAGAACCAGTCAAACGTGCAGTCTCCCAGGGCTACCATAGAGGCTGCTAAGATTCCGTGCTCTCACGTGCCTGAATTCCCTCTGCTTTGACTCGCTGGAACCGCAGTTGCACTGAAGTCGGGAGATTCGGCGAGCCCAGCAGAGAATGGAGCCAGCAGGGGACCTGCAGAGAGTGCCGAGATTAAAACCCTTCCACAGGAAAGGAGCACCAACGGGACAACATTTTGAAATCAGCAGGACTGGCAAGAACAAGGAACAGCAGCGACTTCAGTCAATTGTTCCCTTCCCAGACGAGATTAATGGGGTGTGCTTGGCCTGGGTCACACCCCTGGCTGAGACCCGGTAAGTTGTCCCAAACCAATTCCCTATGCGCAGCGCACACTAACGCAGTGAGGGCCTTAGCAGGTTGACTGACTGCCCCTGTTTTCACCTCAATAACACATTGGAGTGGACAGGATCACCTAGCTAGTGTGCTTCAGAAGAACCGCAACCAACAAGGAAAGAGACTGGGAACTCCTCTACAGGCCTGTATGGAAGAAACCAAAAATATGAGAAGAGGAAGCAAAAGAAAAAGTCCCCAGCCCCCAACCCTGAGAACATTGATCCAGGAAAGGTAAATACAAAAGAGATTGAGGACATAAACATGCAATATCAGACATGGCACCAGAGGACATAAAGAGATATCTTCAGGACCTCATAGACGAGTTCAAAAGCGAAATATTTAACCAAGTAAAGCAAGATATAAATAGATTAATAACAGAAATGCTAAGCACCTCTCAAGAAGACACAGACAGAATGAACGAGCACCAAAAAAAGGAGAGAAATGTTTGATGAAGAATATAGAGAAAACATAGAATACATGAAGCAGGTTCAAAGAGATTACCAGGAAATAAACAACTCCATTGAAAGCTGGCAAAACTGCTTGAAAGAAACCAAGGATAGATTATCCAGACTGGAAGACAGGTTTGCAGTGTGTAAACATATAAGGAAAAATTTCTTAAAAATAACAAGGAAACAGGCAGTAACAATACAAAGGCCAGAAGACGACAAGAGGATCTATAACTTAAGAATAAAGAATGTGAATGAAGAAGCAGAATGAAGAAACAAAGGAAATACAAAGGCTATTCACAGAAATAATTAAGGAAAACTTCCCAAGCATAGGAAAAGGAAATGATATTTAGATGTATGAGGCATACAGAACCCCAGCCACCCACAACCAAAACAGAGCTATGCCCACACATATAATAATCAAGATCCCAGAAATTTAATATAAGAACAGAATATTAAGAGCCATCAGAGAAAAGAAACAGATCACCTATAAAGGAAAACCCATCAAAATCACAGCAGACTTCTTGACACAGACCATCAAATCAAGAAGAACTTGGAGCAAAATATTCCAAGCCCTGAAAGACAATAACCTCCAGCCCGGATTGATGTACCCTGAAAAAACTATCTCTGGAAATTAATGGAGAAACAAGATGCTTACAAGACAAAGAGAAACTGGGGGAATTCTCGATCACCAATCCAACTCTACAGAGAATACTGAAGGATATTCTAGAGAGAGAGAAAAAAGTACTAGGATTCCAGGAACAGTGGCAGAGAGGCCTCAATGAATGGAGCAGAAAACAGAATGAAGAAGACAAGCAGACAACTGATGGCAGAAAAAGAGCACAACAGAAATGAGGCAGAGAAGGTTGGTTATAATCTCTAATATAGATGGCCTTGATACACTAAAAAAAAGAGAAAGAGAGAGAGAGAGAACAAGGCAGAGTAGATCAGGAGGCAGGGCCCACCAAGATGCTCTTTATAGGAAATATAATTAACCTGAAAAAGGGTTTATGGACCAAAAATCAAATACAAGAAAACAATGCTCTGTGTGACGGAACCAGAGAGAAATAGGGGTAACTAGACCAGTATTTGTAGATAGGTTGGAAAGACAGGCTTTAATAGGTAAAGGAATACAACTAGAGATCAAGTCCAGGAGAGAGAAGGTTCAGAACCACTTAGGTAAATAGCAGGTCCCCACCCCCCCAATCTAAAAACTGAGGGTGTTGGTGAGACCCAAAAATGCACAGTGCATCCTGGGGGAGTGAAAGGGGAGCAATAGTCTTAAAAAGATGACAGAGGATATTGTTAATAGTGTATCAGGATTTAAAACCCATATTACTTGCACCATTCTGCTTAGATAGATTTTATTCTATCACAGTTTGTGTACTTGCACTAGATCTGAGGGCACAGACAGCTATCCCAAAAACATCAGGATATAGCACAGTAATCTTTAGTTTCCTACTATCTTAATCTAGAGCCCTGTATAACTTATACTGTTTTACCATGACTGATCATAGTTAAATCTGGTTTGTTTGAGTGCTGTCTGGTAACGACAGATTTTATTCAAAATGTTATGATTAATAGTATCAAGTCTGAGAGTATAGGCAACTACACTGAAGATGACAAGATTCACTGTGATACCCATTCTGGTTTGATTATTACCTGTTTTTGAAGTTTTACACTATCTACAACACTTTGTTTTTATTAATATTGTTATGTACTGCTATTTTCAATTATACTATGTCTCATGATATAGACAATTCTATTGAAGATAACAAGAGACAACACAGGAACCATGGTAGAACTCCTTGTACAGTGGTTTTATATGTCTTTTTCATTATATGTGTTTATAGGAATGTGTTTTGTTTTGTCTTGCTTTGTTTTGTTTCTCCCTCTAATATAGAAAGGATAGAAATATAAGTTAAGACTCATGCATGCGTAGAACCTATAAACAGTTTACAAGAACTGATCTTATAATGCATGATGAAATGAACAAATACTTGGAAGAAAAAGAGACACTACAGTACCCAGTGCTGATCTTGGAGTGTCATAACGTGAAATCCAGCAATAGTATTATTCTTTGTTCAGAGTGACTTTAGCCTGCTATGGTTTGTTTAATCTCAACATAAATGAAGATATGGATAACTATATATATGTTTAAGTGTATGGGATTGATAATCATATTACTAAGTTTTTGTTGGATAGTTGAACAAAACCATTTGTAGTCTCACTGTTTGAATCCCCTTTGTATGTTTCACTCTTGTATCTTGAAGAACTATTTGTAAGAGGACAATCTGTAATCATCAACTAGTGATTCCCTACTGTTTATTTTTTCTTTGAGAGTATGTATTATTTCTACCCATTTTCTGTTTTGTTTAGTCTTTCTTTAAGTAAAATTTTAATAAATAAATAAATAAATAAGGAAGAAATGCACATCACACACACGTGAGCTGCACACAGGTGAGCTGTTCAAGGAGAAGCAGTGCAGAGAGGTAGAGTAGCCAGAGGCTCCAGCCTCATCCTCAGCCTGCTGCAGATCACCTATGAGAGCTGTGTCCTTGAGGAGAGGGGCCAGGATTTGTAGGGACGTGCGTGACACACACCCCACAGCCATCGGCCCTGTAGTCTGGTTCTGTGGTCAGGAAGGAGCCTCTGTAGACCATGTGATCACCCAAAAGCTTCTACCTCAGAACAGAGACAGTGACCCTCCAGGGACACTGACAAGTCACTGGGTACTGGAC